AGAGACCGCACTCCTGCTGCGCTCAGGCAGGTGCAGCGCCTGCAAAGACCACGTTGCAAAAAGCCTGGAAGTGTGGCTGGGTGGGTGGCAGGCAGGAGCCTTGGGGCGGAGGTGAGTGCAGAGCAGAGAAGGGCGGCCCAGACCCTGCCGCACAGTCTCATGGGAAGCTGAAGGAGACGCCGCGGCCGGGCTCCAGCCCCGAGCTGGCCTCTCTGTCTGGGTCCCCTGGTCAGGACAGGCTGAGCTGTGCTTTTCTCTCCTGTCCTGGGAGACCTGCCCATCCCGTCTCCCACTGTGGCTGTCACCTGGACATGGTCCCCAGTCTTGGATGTAGCAGCACCAGGCCCACAGAATTTGCAGGGAGGGCAGCCGGTGGCCGCAGCCCCCCCCCGACGCCCTGCGATCCTGCGTTAGCACCAATTCTCACATTTTGCCTGATTCACTCAGTTCACCTCTCGACCCACCCGTAGGCTTGTGAGTTTGCAGCCCCTGGGACCATAAAAAACGCGTCAATAAGACCGAGAGGAAATGGACCAGGTAGGCAGTGTCAGAGCAGCTAATTGTCTTCTGTTATTGACTAGCTCAGTCTTTCCAAGTGTGTTTTAGCAGCTTAAACGTACTTTTGAAAGCAGGGATTAGAAGACCACAAGCACTTTCGGTAATCAACCAGGAAATACGCAATAGACTGTCTCTTACACGGTCCTTACGCAATGCATGGCTTTGTCTGGCCCCCAGGGGAATTTGTAAGTTAGGACGGACGAGAGTCGGGCAGTGGTGTCCCCCACCTAGTCTCACACCCACTCCACCCCTCCCACACCCACACGACCTGCTCGTCCCGCCCACCAGCAGCCTGAGCTGCACTGTCCTCAGAACTTCCCAGCACCTCTTCCATTCCCAGGCCTCTGCACCTGCTGATCCCCATCCCCAGTCTGAAATGTCTCGCCTCCTTTCTAGCCCACCATTCCAATCCCGCTCCAGTCTTCACGCCACCTCCTCCAGGGAGGCTTCCGGGCCCCCTCCAGCCTCTGGCCCCATCTCATGCTCTGAGCTCCTGTCGGTGTTTCCCAGCCGTCAGGCAGGCGGGTCCTCCTTTGCTACCTGTGCCACGTCCACATGCTGTCTGCTGTTCATCTGAAAAGACTTTTTTATTTAAATCAATCCACTTTAACTTTCTCAAGGAAACTTGGTGACACTACACTGAAATGGAGAGCCAGGATCATTACTCTCAGTTGTGACCATAAAAATAAATACAAGAAAAAACGGCCATTATTAGATCTTAGGTAAACCCACTGCCTGCCCAGTCACTGTGCCCAAGACCTATCCGTCACAGGACAGCTATAGGGACCTGGCTCTGGTTGGCAAGGTGACAAAGGTGTCAGCACCAACCTGAGACCTCGTTTTCAGAATCAGAAAGCCTGCAAGGGATAGGATGGTCAAATGCCATGGGACTGGGTTTACCTAAGCACTCGGGACACACGCTCCACAGCGTGTTCGTTTTGTCACCTGACATAACCGTACTGTTCTGTCACCTGTTTCAACAGTGAGCTCCACAAAGAAGAGCTGCCCATGTCCAGGGTGACGACACAGGGATGGAGTTCACAGGACACATCAGTACACCCTCTGGTTAAACCGGTGTCCCCAAAACGACAAGAAGTCTCTGGCACCGCATGTTACGGGGGGACCTGCAGTCAGAGTCAGCAACGCCTCCTGAAATTCATCTGCTCCGGACCTCTGTACAGAGTGTCCTGGCCTAAATGCTCGGGAGACTGGCCTGTGTCCTAAGCCCTGTCTGAGAAGGTGGAGACTGTGCGGAGATCAGACCTGCTAACCAGTAACTGAAAAATCAAGCTCTGATGTCAGCAGCTATGCCCCACTATTCCAGCTACCATCAGTGACAGCAGTGACACACAAGCCCTTTCAGGACGACCCTGGCCGGGCCAACAGCCCAATGACTCCCAGCACTGTAACGGGAGCTCCTTAACCAACGATTCTTTACACACACCCCTCTTTGTTCTGTTTTGTGTTGCTTTCTGCTAAAATGAGTCGAAGCAGACTCATTTTTTGGAAAAGAAATAGCCCCCAGTGGAAAGCACTCATTTAGGCACCAAAGGAAGCATTTTTCTTCCCACACACAAAGCTCCTCCTCTGTCTACTGGGGTCCCCCAAAATCTCAGCCAGAGGGGAGGTCAGTGCCAGAACCAGCTGGAGCCTGCGCCTCCCTGCTCAACACAGGCAGGCAGGGCTCCTGTCCGACTGACTGCGGGCGCGTTACCACCCAGCTCCCTGACACCACCAGGCACTCCAGCCAGGCCGGCCCCTCCTGCCCATTAACTAGGGTGACCCGCCGTCCTGCTTTGCCCGGGACTCAGGGAGGCGGTCCCCGCGGTCAACACTTTCAGTGCTAATGCTGGTAAAGTAGAGGGCAAGCGGGGCGGGTCGGACACCCACGCGAACACCCCTGACGTTCCCGCGTCTGCAGGGGCAGCTCCCACCTGAAATACCGCTCACCCTGCACTTGCCCGAAACTCGCCAACCCGCGTGGTCCTTCAATCCCCCGTCCCCGAGCTCGCCTCCACGGGGCTCCTCGACGGCCCCCCATGACCTGCCCAGACTGCAGCCCTTCCCCTAGGACTACAGCTCACCTCTGCAGAAAAGCTTCTGGAAGCTGATGCTGTGCACCCCCGTGGCCCCTGCCCTCAGCAGAGAGCCAGGTGATGGCGCCGTGCCCACCAGTTACAAAACTCTCCAGCACCCACTTTCTGGAAAAGCACCCACTTCAGAAAAGAAGTCCCTGTGACTCCCGCCAGCCTTTTCATAGGTTTAGGTTTCGTGTGTGCCTTCAGATCCTAAGTCCACCCAGAATTTACTTCGGTGTGAAGTCTGGAGAGGGACTCTAACTGCCCCGGTCACTCAAGTCGGTTGGCCGTGCTCAAGCCCACTTCCATCTACACATCGGCCTTGCTTTCACCACTGACTTGAGACGAAGACAATTTCAAATTCCTATGTGCAATCGTAATAAACTGCTGGTAAACTCAGACACGGCCGGGCGGCGTGGTGAGGAGTGGCCCTGTGCTGTCAGCAAGGACACTGAAAGCAGTCTAAATTCTCAATTCTCAAAGTGGGGCTCCCCGACACAGAGCCGGCGTGGTCTGGAGCTGTTACAACTGCAAGTACTCGGCGCCCCCAGGCCCAAGTCAGAGCCTGCGGGGGCCCTCCAGCTAATGACATGCATTCCAGTGTGACAGCCACTGCTTAAGGAATTGACCAAGTGTCACAGCCGGTTGTAGACTGGAACTCGGTCCCAGGGCCATGTTCCAGCAATTCCAAGCATCATGGCCATAAGCAAGCCTCCTCCACGGCCACACGGTCGTCCCCAGGTTTCTGAACGGAGCCACTGACTGCTGTGTTTGCCGGACCAGGGTGCCTCGCCTCTGTGTTCACTGACGCTGGAAAACCTCTACACACCTCGGGGGCCAACCCTCCAGCTCACTGCAAGACCTTCTAAATACCATTATGTCCTCTGCCGAACGGCAGCAAGGCTGAGAGAGTGACTGTGATAATAACAACATGGGAAACTTATGAAACCACAGAAATACGTGTGAACAACAGTTTCCATATTTCCCTATTTACTCTCGTAAGAACCCTACCAGGCAGGTCCAACTATTGGTCCCCTTTTCAAGGGAGAAAACTGAAGCATGACTGTTCCAACGACCAGCCTGCATCACACACTGACACAGACAGAGCCGGCCCACTGCCCCCTCCTCTGCCCTAGAGCGGGGAAAGGCTGGTCTGAGAGCCCCGTGCTCCCCTTTCATGGCCATGAAGGACTGACCCTGTAAAATCCCCAGGCTGCCTTCAAGCAGGGGCTCCCAGACTTACCTGCACACAGCAATCGCGGGGGGTCTCAAACCTGCAGAGGCCAGGCCATACCCCAGACCGACTGACTCACACTCCTTAGGGGAGGAAGCAGACATTGCTTGTGACGCCCCCAGGTGCCCACGTGCTTGGGAACCACCACAGACAATGCAACTTCTGAGAGGGGCTAGCGTGCTGACACAGTGACAAAAACCACTGGGCACTCGTCGTTCCAGGAAACTTGGGAAGAGCTTTCTCATGTAGAAGCTTCTCCACCGGGAAGGCAGGCCCCACACTGCTGAACGGCCCAGCGGAAAGCTTGTCCACATGAGTGTCCTCAGCCTAGGAGACAGAACCCCACCTTGAAGGACGTTATCCCTGCTACGCAGTGGAAGCTGAAGTCTACCTGCCACTGACAACTCATGTAATCCGCCCCAGTTGGCCACCACCTTCCCCGCAGACCTGGTGACAGAGTCCCAGCTACAGAGGCAGAGGCCAGACAGCCCCACAGCAGGAAATGCACACGCGTCTTCCCATCAGCTCCTGCCAGGGTAAGAATGCCAGGAAAGTGCCACTATGACTCCCATCCCGCAAAGCACACATTAGGGGCTCCCGACAAAGTAAAAAATCTTGCCGCTAACAATGATTACAGCTAAGGCTACAAAAATAAAAGGTTCATGGATCACATCTGCCCAGAGTCTGCAGGCGAGGCCCGTGCATTTCTCCAAGACCCGGAACTGGCCTGTGTTCCTGGTGGAGACAATCACCTCCTGCTGGGCACAGCCAGAGCTTCACCTCTGGTTTCTCTCTGACACCTCCTAGGCAAGGCTGTCTTAGAAATCATGCAGGAAAGGCTAGAATCGCAGGCTCCACCCTCCATTTTCCTAGCAAAACATTGCTCTCGCTGCTGCTCATCCCCGAGCCCGTGCTGCCTCAGCAGCCCTGGCGGTGGTCCCCGTACGGCCACAGCGTCCATGGGACCAGCGTCTCCGCAGCTCCAGGAGTCCACCAAGCAGTCAAAACGCTGCTTCCTCCCATCAGATTGGGACCTGCCTTCGCCAGACCGAGGCTGCGTCAAGACCGCTCATGGTTCTCTTGACCGTGCCCAGGCGTCTCTCCAAAATCCCAGCTGAGAGGGCCCTCCCTGAACTCCTCCAGGACCGAGACAGTTTCTGCCACGCCATCCTCCGGTCAAGGCGGGCGCCCAGCACACCTGTGGTGGGCAAGTGTGTGGTATTAGGTCTCAGTCAGCCTCTTGGTGTCAAGGCCAACTCCCTATGTGACTGAACCAATGAGAACCTCCAGCAATTGTTGAGGTCACTGGCTGAACAGAGCTGGTCCAAGTCACCAGAATTCCTGACCTCCGGCGGAAATGCACAAACCTACCCGCTGCCCAGCACCCCAAGGCCACCCACTCATGCTGGGGCCCGGGGAGGGCCAGGAAAAGAGAAGAAGGCAGGCTCGCTCGCAAATGTGGTTACCTCTCCTATTTCTTGTTGGATTGGCAGCCGCTGGCTTGTGGCACATTCATCATGTTGAAAAGCAAGCTATGTCCATGGATTAAAAATTAATTTACTGTCCAGCCTGGCTGCCAGCTTGGTGCCTTAATTGAGTTTCGTTGTGACAGTGTGCTGAGCTCCGGGCATAATTCAGCCCGGTCCAGAGGTCTCAGTGTCTGGGGAGAGGTTTATGAGCTCTGTAACGCAATTATCCCCCAGCACAATAGGCTGCTTATCTCCAGAGTCACTCCGAATTCAGCCTGGGTTCTTCACAAGTACGAGACCATAACACAGTTATTGATCTACTTCTCCAGAGACGTGCTCAACAGACTTGAGTCTCACAAGGGAAGACAGAAGCGCTTGATCCCACTGTGGGAAAGCTAGTCTCTGGAGAGGCACACTAATTATGTTAAACGTTTAATTGAGCAGCTACTATACGTTCAGTATGCAAATGACTGTGATGTAATCCCCATAGAGGCTTACTGTGATCTTCTGAGCTAATGGAAGTTCGATGAGAAGCGTTAGAGGCAGTGTTTACTACCCCCCTCCCCCACCCCAGCCTCTGGCTGAGAAAGGTCTGCAGAGGGCCCTTTCCTGATATCGGGGCTATCTGTACAGTGCTGACCATGCACCAGGCCCATCACCAGAGCGCTCCTAATGTAGGTCCCACACCGCCCCCACTTTGCACCTGAGGAAACGAGGGTCCTCCTGTCTGTCTCCCTCCACCTGGTCGACCTTAACATTCCCGCCCCGATGGTCCAAAGGTACATTCAGCATCAGGACTCAGGGAGTCGTGCCCCAGACACACCCTCTGGAGCCCTTTAGAGCCCCCCTTCCATTTCAAGGTGTTTCCTTGCACTTCTGAGGGCTGGTGCGAATGGTGTGCACATATCTCTGTCGGGGTCACCCTTGCGTTGTACAGGGCTGTGCCTCGTGGGACCCCCTTCCCGGGCGGCGTGCCCCCTTCTCATGCAGCATCGGAAAGGCTGCCACTGACCTATCTCACTTTGCCTTTTAGGTGCAAACATAAACTTTGTGACCATGGTCTTCAGTGTGTGCAGTAACTACCGCTAAAGACGTGAGCGAAGATGGAGCCACCGCGGGAGCAGCGTCAGCAAAGGGCTGGCCGCATGTTTTGACAGACAACGTGAAGGTGTGTGTCCACTTCTACTAGGACCTCGGTGTTCCTTTACCACATATGGAGAAGTGTCACTTTGGCAGCTCAAAAGTGGAATTATTGCAATTATATCCTTTTACTCATGAGAATTTGAGAATTCACCCTACATGAAGATGTCTGGAGCAACCAAAAAGGTGAGGTTTTCCATGGTGGCGTTATTCAGCAAAGCGATACAGCCTCCACTTCTCTATTTCGTACTTTTAAAACCAAAATTGACACCAAAATTCATGTTCAGAATATACCAAGAAATCTTACATATTAAAAGGAAGTAAATGGACAAAATTTAAATTCAAATTACTAATAAATGCATGAACATATGTTCGATCTCACTAGTAATCAAGGACTTGCAAATCCAAACCATGAGTTCCCACCAGATGTGCAAAGATGACAAGCCTGACCCTGCCAAGGACTGACAGGCGGGAAGCATGTGCCCCACAAACTGGTCCGCCAAGTAGGGTGCAGCGAGTATAGATGATAGTGACAGTGGGCGTGTCCTCCAACCCCACTGATGTCACCTGGACTCACTCACGTGTGCTCAGGAGGCAGATGTTAAAATGTCCATCACAGAAAACGGAAAAAAAACAACAGGGAAATGGTTAAAAGAAACCCATCAGCCCAAATATGCCTCCAAAACATAATGCAAAGTATGGGGCTGTGTGCCCAGTGTGTATATTTATGAAAAAATCTACATTAAAAACACCACGGGTTCTCCAAGGAGAGAGACAGGTAGGGAGAGTGTCATGAGTAAAGCATATTTAAAAACTGGGAAGGCTACATAATATCCTAAGGATATTAAGGGCTTAAAGGTGGGCATTGGGGTAGATTCTACAAATTAAAGAGGAATTTAGCTTTCTTTATAACACTCGGCTTATTTTTAAAGGGCAATGTGTACAACTGAGCTGGTCTCGTCAATAAATCGATGATGTGGGGAAAGGTATTTGCAACTAAAGGAAACTTAAAGACACGGCAGTAAATATACACATGAAGCATGGCTGAATCCTGGCTCAATAAAAACAACAAAGTATTAAAAATATCCTCAGGACCACTGAAAATTGTCAAATATGGGCTGGAAATTGGATGATATTGTGCAATTACTGTGAATTTTTAGGTATGATAATGATATTGTGGTTATGTAAGAAATAACCTTATTTTTAGATGACATATGCTGAAGTAATGAAGAGGGACAATATTGGGAACTTTTAAACAGTCCAGTAAAAAGAAAAAGATAGATTCATTGATAGATCCAGGTAGGCAGGTAGATAGATAATAGATATAAATGATAGATAGATGATAGAGAGATGTAGATGATAGACGATAGATAGGAGATAGACAGACAGACAGATAGAACACAGATTGGTTGAAACTTTCTGCTGCGGAGAGTGAAGCCATTGGATGGGTGCACACAGTCACACGGACACTGTGACTTGGTAAAGAGCCCGCCGCAGGGCGCTGTGTCTGAGAGCAAAGGCTGTCTGCCCACTGTGCAGACCACACTGCGTGGGCCCAGGCGGCAGGACGGGGGGCGCTGTCCGAGGTGACCTGCCCTGGGTGAATGCTTTGCTCTGCGTCCATTCCCGTCTTCCAGTTCTAACACCCCAACTTCCGTCTGGGAAATGACTGCTCTCCTATTCAACCCAAGGAGGGCACATGACCCGGCTTAAGTTCCATCTGTCCTCAGCCAAATAGTTGTTCAAGGGACAATGTCTCAGGTTGATTGCCAATTTGGTCCCATCAGAGACAATCTGGGGACTTCTGCTGAACTATCAGGGAGAACAGCCTTTCTTCCCTGCACCTTCCCCAGGTCACTGGCAAGAGAAGGCTCCCTGAGCTGCTGGCCGCCACATGGAAAGAGCCTCTGGGATGAAGCTGGCCCAGGGAAAGGCGGGCGGAGGAATTGGAACAGGCTAAGTCCTGATGACATCACGTCAGCCTCTAGACCCAGCCATGCCTGCAGCCCTCCCTCAGGAAGCACCCTGCTTTAAGTCAGAGTCACCTGCTCTGTAGTAATAGGACATCAGCCTCTGAACCCCAGAAGTCCACCCTCTCCGTACCACCCATTCGAATAGAGAAAGATACAGTGTCTGTGTCCTCACATGCCTGCTTATCAGGGTGCCAGGCACTGGGTTTAGGACCGTCCCAATCCAGTAGGACCTCATCTTAACCTACGTCTCTCTGCGTCAGCAAGGACTCTGTCTGAACACGGCTGTATTCACTGGTGCTAGGGGTGGGGTTGGAACATACATTCTGAGGGGACAAAATTCAACCCATTGGAGCTACCACCTTGCAACTACTAAGAAAGTTAAGTCTCAGAGCAAAGCCCACACTTCAGAAGACAGAAGAGAGAGAACCCAGCTGGATAGACGAGTGATCTCACGGATCGAGCCTCACCGAAGCCTGTATTACATCTCAGCGTCGCTCCCTTTTGCCCCTCCAAAATAGGCTTTCTTATCTAAGCCAATTCAAATGGGTTTTCTCTCATTTTTAACAAAAGCATCGTAACTAAAGTGGGTACGGAGCTTCCCGAGTTACAGATCTCATGAGGGTGGATGGTCGCCCCAAAGCAGGGCAGGTTTCCAGGCACAGCGACCAGGGACTCGGGCCCCTCCTGCCGTCTCCTCTCGGTAAAGACACAGACCAGGTGGACCTCGTTCCTAGGTCCCCCTTCCCCACCTTACAATGTCCTGGTGTGGGTCTGTCTGCTCAGCGGGCGGGACGGGTGCCCCTCCACCATCTCAACACCCCTGAGTCCTCTGTGCCTGGCGCTTCCCGTTCCTGGGGGCTTTGCAGCTTTTCACACTGTGTGGCCACATCTGCACGAACGTCCTGGAGGCTGACAGAGCTGCAGAGAGAAGTTCCGGCAAAATGCTTCCTTCAAAAGCGCGGAGATGAATATCGGTTTTGTAGCTCTGTAATGTAAACGACCTTGACGTGACAACTCCAGCTGCATGAAGCAGTGAAAGACTGCTCATGAAAGGATGGAGGAGAGATGGTTTAGTCACATCCAATTGTTTAATGATCTTGCTAATAATCCAAGAAACGGCCTTCTGGGAAACAGAGGGAAGGAGGGTGTGTGTGGTGTGTGTGTGTGAGAGAGAGAGAGAGAGAGGGAGAGGGAGAGAGAGAGCGCTCACACGGGTTGAACCTCCACCCCAGACTTGCATCAAAGATGACGGGTCTTTGTCTAAAAGCCAGAAGTTAACAGCTTTCTTGTTAATAAACTTTCTATGGTTTTGTGTTGTTTTTTTTATTATGTTCTAGGAAGTTACCTTCAAATTATGGCACCAAATTGGCAAAATTGGAAAAAAAAGATGTTTTTCCAACAGATTAGTATTCATTCACTCATTTATTCATTCAATCATGCAGTCATTCGTTCAGCCAACCTACGCGCTTACTCCTGTCAGGGAGACATTCTAGGTCTCCCTGGGAAGCTGAATAAACACAGCCAACTGTGGGTCCTCGTGAAGGTCACGTCCCAGGGAGCACGCAGGCCCCAGTCAGACAGACAAGCGTGGCTGCAGGCGGCGTGGGGAGCCATCA